CTTGAAAGTCTCAGTATATGAGAATAACAAGATGTTTAGGATCCTAATCTTTTCCTGGTTGTGCAGAACAGTTTTATTCCTCTTCACCTCTTGGGATGGCCAAATTCCTCCTGTATGCCATGTATTTCAGCATTAAGATAGTTGATTATGCCCCATCCTAGATCTAGCTCAGGAAAAAGAAATTCTAAAATATGCATAGATGTTTCTATGGGGACATCATGTTTGATATGGAAAACTGAGGATCAACCTAGACAAATGTCCTTCTTCATGCTGTGGGGAGTTGGAGCTCATGAAAGCTACAGTCTCATCAAGAATATCAGCTGATCTGTCAGTTTCAGAGCTAATCCCACAACCTGATTTAAGTAGGAACACTGTTTCATAATAAACTCCCTTGTCCAGTTTTCCATTGTTTGCCACATTTATAAATCTGTACATACTTCATCAACTATTTCCTTCCTCGCACTGCTTTACCCTGCGTGCCACAATCTGCTTATATGAAAGACATGTATTGCAACAAGAGCAAGATCATTCCATGAGATTAATTCTAGAAGGGCAGACCAGGTCCTTCCGGGGGACACTTACAAGGACATCCAAGGCAGAGAACCTAGGTGAACTGGAAGTGAGGTGTTCATTGCACAGGATACTAGCTACTTAATATCACTTATCAATGGAATTAGGAACTCAATAAAAGCTTTGTCTACATCAAAAGAAACTAAAAAAACAAAAGATTTACCTACCTTTAATTAGAAAGACAGATACATAGAGAGAAGGGGAGACAGAAACATCTTCATTTGCTGATTTACTTTCCAAGTGGTCATAATGGCCAGAGCTATGCCAATTTGAAGCCAGAAGCTAAGAGCTTCCCCTGGGTCTGCCACATGGGTACAAGGCCTTGGGCCATCCTCTACAGTTTTCCCAGATCAAAAGCAGAGTTCTGGATGGGAAGTGGAACAGCTGAGACATAAACTGGTGTCCGTATAGGATCCTGGAGCATGGAAGGCAAAGAGTTAGCCACTAGGCTATCACACCAAGCCCAAAAAAGACTTTTAAAACAGGGAGTTTCTGGAACTTTCCTTTTCCTTTAAATAAATGCCTACTGTGAGAATGTGACTGTACTACCATTTACAGTATAGACATAGAAGCTCTGTACACATTTATATGTACCAACACAAGAACCTGATCCGCCAACTCACACAGAGGGAAAGGGATAGGATCCAACACGATCTGCCATTCCCTGAGTCAGATCTGTCCCCTGCGCCCTTTGTCCTTTAGGAAAGCAAGGGGCTACATTCACAGATCAGTCAATAACCGAAGATCCTGAAAACATAATGACCAAAAAGCCTGAAACAAACTCCTACTTGAGTAGATCCTAGTGAGTCTACTACATACCCCTTTACACACAACTTTCCCTCTCCTAAGTGCCAGTTTGGCAATGAGATCGCTATTTCAGAATCACACATACTCTCCTTCCTGCTTTTTGGGGGATGACTATAACATGATACCCAGGAACTGACTTGGAGGTCCTGGTCAAAGTCTGCTGGGGGTAACCAGCATCACTGCACACTGTATAAATAACCAGAGGCCCATCTAGGCCAGGTCTACCCACTGAGCAGTGTTCAGAGTATTCTCTGCATAAGGGAGCCAATGAAATTACTGTTCCAAAGACTTCAGTTTAAAGTTTTTCATTTCAGAAAAAGATAAATATTGCTTCCTCTTGTGGTTTCAAAAGAACAATTAAACAAAGATCAAATTTAGTGCTTGTGAATCTGTCCTGCTCAACAGGAAGACATCTGAGAAGAGGAAATATGCCATTATTTCCACTTTCAGGTTCCTACGAAGCAGCTGGCATACAACTCATGGCTCACTCCTAGCATGCGTGTCTTTTTTTTAAAAAAAAGATTTATTTTTATTGCAAAGTCAGATATATAGAGAGGAGGAGAGACAGAGAGGAAGATCTTCCGTCCGATCATTCACTCCCCAAGTGGTCACAATGGCCAGTGCTGAGCCAATCTGGAGCCAAGAGCCTGAAGCCTCTTTCAGGTCTCTCACATGGGTGCAGGGTCCCAAGGCTTTGGGCTGTCCTCGACAGCTTTTTCAGGCCACAAGTAGGGAGCTGGTTGGGAATTGGAGCTGCCAGGATTAGAACCAGTGTCCATATGGAATTCTGGTGCATTCAAGGCGAGGACTTTAGCCACTAGGCTTCTGTGCTGGACCTGCTTGCATGTTTTTTAAATGAATAAAATTCTCATAGCCACAAAGACAGCCTTGAATTTTCCAATGATCCATCCAGTCCACAGATTTCTAAACTACCTATGAATGACATGAATACTGCAACTTGTATTCTTCAATCCACTTGTGAATCCTAAAATCCAATCACAATGGAAAAATATCTGCACCTCTTATTTCCCTTGCATAGCATCTGTGCCAGATCTTGTACTTTGACAAATTTACATTTACGTTGAAAATTCCAGCTGAATGAACATTTTTGTAAAAGCAGGACAATGAAAATTCAGCTAGAATTTAGATACATGAGAAGAGGATGAAGTTGAACCAAGGACAGCTATCAAGACCCCTAATGTGGTGTCAGAGCAGACAAGCTCTTGGGAGCCGAATGTTCTCTCTCTGGATACAATCAGTACACATTCGCAAACCTCAATCGCTTTCTGTAGAGGTCAAGACTCTTTGACCTACCTGCCTTTATGAACACTGTGTGGATTACCAAGGTGTAGGCGGAGGAACTTAAAGCACAGAGGAATGAAGTTCCTACCACAAAGCCTCATGGGAAGACAGGATAACTACTAGGAAAGAATTCCTCATTCATACCTTTTTGACTTCAAAGGGATTTGGGGAACAGTGGTGAAAGTATATCTCAAACAGTAATGTGCCTACAAATCACCTGGACATGTTAATCAGTGTATTCTAATTCAGGAGCCTTAGTGGTTGGGGGAGGGGGCACTGTTTTTTTGCATTTGTAAACTTTAATCAGTACTTAAACAGTAGCAACAGACCTTGCTTGTCTACAAACCATACTCTAACAAACAAAACATTTAATTGCATAACTTTAAGTAATGTACAAAAATCACGTAGGGACTTGGTTATTAATTATAATACTGAGGGTTAGTCCTCACTTTCAGAGATTCCAATTCATTGGACTGGAGATCAACAGTTATACAAAGATTCCAAGTGTCAGGCTGTCACAGACATTGCCATACACGGAGCACCACAGAAACAACTGGGCATATGCCAGCAAGGTGGCAGTGGGAGACCCTGTACCTTCCTGAAGCAAAATAAAGCTGGGCAAAGTCAGAGGGGAGGGTCGTCATGTACATTCTTTGTGCTAACTTGTTAGGATGAGCACGAGTAGCAAGGAGGAGCCCCCATGTGGTTCCATCAACTCCTAAGCCCCCCCCCCCTTTTTAAAAGAAAGGCTCAGAGAGGAGGAAGACCATGTCTGCCAGGGAGAAAGAAAAACCTGAAGATTCAGCACAGGGCAGACTAGCTTACTACATAAAAAAATTAAAACTTTTCTCCCTCCTAAAGAGAGGACAAAGAGAAGTTCAAGGTTCCCCACACCCCCAAGAGAGCTTGCTTTGGCCTTGTTCTTGTTCTGAGTATCATCCCAAAATCAAAGAACACCCTGGTCTCTGCATGGGCAATGTCACCAAGGAACGGGAAGAATGACACTGCTGTAGATGACAAGTAGCCTGATGAAAAGGCTACTGAGCTGAAGGAAAAATAGGAAAATAGTGCTGTGCGCTGAGCTAAGGAAGGCCTGATGCAGCAAGAAGGGAACTATCAAGGCTGAAGATAAAGAAAATGATGAGAGCCCAGCACAGTAGCCTAGAGACTAAAGTCCTTGCCTTGCATGTGCCTGGATCCCATATAGGCACTGGTTTGTGTCCCAGCAGCCCTACTTCCCATCCAGCTCCCTGCTTGTGGCCTGGGAAAGCAGTCGAGGATGGGCCAAAGTCTTTGGACCCTGTACCCATGTCAGATTCCTGGAAGAAGCTCCTGGCTCCTCCTGGCTTTACATTAGCTCAGCTCTGGCCATTGTGGCCACTTGGAGACTAAACTAACTGACAGAAAACCTTTCTCTCTGTCCTTCCTGTTGATGTGACCTTACAATTAAAAAAAAATGATGAAAAATGTTTTTCTTGTTTATGAAACATTTTCCCACCTCTGTGCCCAGTGGACTCAGTTTAATGATAAAAAAAATTAAAATGTGAGGCTATACTTTTATCTGTGCGTGTATAGTAAGCAGAATACAGAATGTTCCTTTAGAGAGCTCTGTCCTGGTGGTATTTTCAGTAGCCACTAATTTTGCGTGGTAGAGTGTGGTGGTTGTAATTGGAATGGTAATTTAAAGTAGTAATTGATGGTACCCAAACCAAATTAGGTAAATATGGGAATGGTATTTTTTTCATCTTCAGTTGTCTCTGTTGCAATATAATATTGTTTTGTTAGGTGAATACCATACTACAGCTACAAAACAAACTTTGGGTTTGATGCCATTCTGAATGCTTCTAATGCAATATTTAATTTTTTTCCTGGGCTGGCATGGTGGCACAATAGGCTAATCCCTCACCAGTGTTGCCAGCATCCCATATGGGCACTGGTTTGTATCCTGGTTGCTCCACTTCTGATCCAGCTCTCTGACCAAGGCCTAGGAAAGCAGCGGCGGATGGCTCGAGTGGTTGGGCCTCTGTACCCATGTGGAAGACCTGGAGGAAGCTTCTGGCCTGACTTCAGAATGGCTCAGCTTCAGCTGTTGTGGCCATTTGGGGAATGAACCAGTAAATGGCAGAACTCTGTCCTTCTCTGTAAATCTACCTTTCAAATAAAAATAAAATCTTCAGAACTTTTTTCCCAGGGAGTTCTCTAATTTGTGAACAAAGTCATAAACCACTGTTTTAGGCTATTTTACCAAAAACAGTGAGGCAGGAATTCGGTGAAATCAAGTTTCCTCAGCAAGTGGAACACAGAGCTCATCCTGGACTCACAATTCTGGCCTTACATTTCGTTTCTACCAGTAGGAATTCTGTTTCTTCAAAATTTTCTCCAAAATTTCTATTGCCTTTCCTGTTTACACACACACACACACACACACACACACACACACACACACAGAGTTATTTTCTATCCTTAATGCCCCTCTCTCTCTCCATGTAGTTCATGAGTCTATTTATGCCATGGACACAACAGATAAGAGTCTGAATACCTAATCAGCTGAGCCAGAGAGGGAAAGAACCAGGCTCGCTGCCAAGTTCATAACGACCATATGATAAACACCCATTCTGCTTCTCTGGTCTACAATTACTAAGCAATAACTTTATGCACAAAAATGCCAAAGTCATGCCACTCTGAGCATGAGCAGCTTTCCTAACCTTCGTTTCGGTTTTCATTTATACTTCAATCCTTTTTCTTTTCAGAATAGGATACAGCCAGTGGCCTGCAGAACATATTTACACCTGAAAACACATGTTTCTAGGAATCTCTGACACAAAACTGGAGGGAGAGAAAGCCATTCCCCTTTCAACATTTCTTCTCCTTTACCAGAGAGGGCAAAGGTGGCAGCTTCCCATGAGCTGGTGCCCAGCTTTGTGCTTGGGCATGACCAGGCTTCCCTGAGCTGAGCCCTAGGATATGAATATCTGCATTGCCATGGCCTGCTGCTCACAAGAGAACAACCTTCTCTTAGGAGCTGCAGGGCTGGAGACATGAGACGCATCTCTCAATGTCCACTGGGGAAAACTGCAGTGGGGAAGGCCTTTGGCTGAGGAGCATCTCAGAATAGGGGTGAAGGGGCTTGTTTCCTGCTGTGACAGCAATACTCACAGCTACACTCTGCAATGCTCCTGCCTCCAGGCAGCGTCCCCTCTCATCACTCCAGGCTCCTATGAGGATTTCTTAAGGAAGTACATGTGGCTTAAAATGTCCTCTGTGTCTCCTGTCCAGATGGTAGAAACCCAGTTACTTGAGCCATGACCATTGTCTCCTGATTGTGCACTGGCAGGAAACTTAAGTCAGGAGCTATAGCTGGGAATCAAACCCAGGTACTCTGACATGGAACACTGGCATCTTAATTACAAAGCTGAAGGTCTGTCCTATTGGCCCCATCCCCATTAATATGTTACTTCCAGATGTTCCCACGGAAGAGGGACCCACATGGAAGGCCCTGAATGCTTATTTTATGGGTTAGGTCTGGAAATGATGCAATCACATTTGCCCCATTTCCATTCAATTCAGGTGCTTGACCATGAGAAGGCAGACTGGGAAATAGGGTTGAGGTGAAACAGCACATTCAAGTCACAGTGCCGCTTGACAGTATGAGTAAACTCTGAAGAAGCTTGAAATAATCACTAAAAGGAAAATTTTTTTCATGGAAACAATGGTATGACTCACTTTCACCCTGTAGCCCTTGACCCTTTGTACCCTAATCAACTAAGTAAGATTATTAAAAAAAAATAGCAACAATATAAAAAATTTTCTAAAAAAGAAAATTGTTTTCAGATTTTGCCTTTTGTTTCATATTGGTGCATTACCTATTTTATAATCAATATCCAGAAATAAGATTATTCAATAACACCTCATAAGACAAGTGCAAGAAGCCGTTTCCAAATTTTCCATTTCTTCTGTGGGGTACAATTAGTTACTCCAGCTTTGGTCTCAAATTTTTCATTAAATATGAGCATGCTGCTTGACTTGCACTCTGGTAGTTGCTGCTTTGAAAACTAATGAAAGCAGAAGAACATGAGGCCAGCTCCAAAGAATATGAATCAGATGTTATACACACATGATAGCGTATCATAGGCTTCAGTGGCCTCCTTGCAGCCTCTGACTATACACGTGTTCCTCTACTGGCGAACCCGAACATGGTTGAGCAGCAAGCAACAGCAAACTAACCAGCAGGTCTAGAAGTTAGCTGTAGCATTGCAAATGCTGCCAGAGATTGTATACAAGATGAGACTTTACCTACAGAGCAAAATCAAGAAGGAGCCACTTTGAAGAACACAGCCTTGTGGAAGAAGTGCTAACCATTTGCAATTTCATTCTTCCATAAATTGGCAATGGCTTTCTACAGCATGACTCCAGATGTAAACTTGTGACCCTAGTTCAGAGGTGGCTCCTGGAGTTATCTGGCTAGGTGCATGTAGCAGTAACAAATTTACTTGCTGAGTCTGACATTTTCTGTAAAAGCACACATCCCTGTCCACTATGTTGTCTTTCTGCAACATTGAATGTCATGTTGAGACCTGGTTACTCCCTATCTCCAAGGCCACCTTGACTCCAACAATCTGCACATCAAAACTGCTTCCTGCAGACATCCTCTTGGGTGTGAGGGGGCCAAAGCAGAGCATGTGTTTGTTTACAATCGAAGCAGAAGCAGGGTTGCATTCTCACCCTTGTGGAGCTCTGCCAATTTCACTGGGACTTACGAAGAGCATAGAAATCTGTCTGGAGATACCTCCCATATATAAGCCCCAATGGTTGTCTGAGAAACCCTAGAACTCTGGGGACAAACCTTGAAGAAGCAGCCTCCCAGCCTGAATCAAACCTCAAGATAACTGTTGTCTTGCAGCACCATGAGGTAAAGATTTTTTTTTCTGTTGGCCTTATTTCTGTGCACTTATGAATTTAAAATGTTTCCTTAGGGACCAGGGGTTGGGCAGGTCTCCTTCTAAAGGAGAGTTGCATTCACAGTTCTAACACTGACAGGCCTCCTCAATCTGGTAACCCAGGGGATATGAAGGAGGCTCTGTAAGATTATGTGGGTAAGGTTTAGGGAAGCCGCCAGGAAGTGGTACTGGATGATGATGGCGACTAACAGGAGTAGAGTGGCAGGCCTAGGGCATCACTAGACCTTGGAGAGATGGTTAGCTGTAATTCCAGGAGAGAGCCTCATCAAGTGGTCTTTGGTGCTGACAACTTTGGTCAAGCACAGTGCCTTCCTAATGCACTCTAATTTCTGACTGCCAGCAAACAGCACAGCAAGTTAAAAATGAAACAGACCCAAGTGCAAAACCCAAGGAGTCACTCTCTGCAAGCAGACGGCATGGTGAAGGATGGATCTAATTAAGTCTAGACAGGGTGATATAAGAAGGGATATATAGAAGTGTCCATACTCTGCCATTATGGAACTTGCTCATTGGGAGCAGCAGTGGTCTTCAGTGAATGAATGAAATACCCTTCTTGAATTAGAAGAGATTATCAGATGGCATCTAGGTAAGTTTTTAAGTGATGCAACAATAAATATCCCAGGGAACACACACAGACTGTTCAGTGGAGGACAGAGACCTGAACTCAAAGCAGACAGATACGCAATGGTGACCCATCTGGGCAGGAACCTTTAGGTCATTTCAGGCATCCAACAGAGAAACAAGCTATTTTTTTAATCTGATAATTTGATGAAAATCAGGTGGGAAGAAGAAATAATTTTCAAAGATGGCTCTATGGTTTTGTGCTTACCATGCAACGAGACTCTGATAACTATGAAGTTTGCCTTTTCATTGACCCAAGCATTGTTCAAGTGGAATCTGCTGACAAGCAGCATTATCATGACCTGGGAACCTGTCGGATATGCAGAGTCTGAGGCCTTCCCGAGATCTGCCAACTCAGAAACTCCATTGAGGGCCCAGGCATCTTCCAGGCAAAGAGCCTTCCAGGTGATCTAGTTACACATTCAGATTTGAGAGACCACTTAGTAGAGTTGTGACATATTTGTTCCAGGAAACTGCCTTTCTCATCTCCTGACTTGGTTATTACTAGTGGGCAGCAAATATGTTCTGTTCAAGAGCAGTCTGTCTGACATGTTACTATGCTCAATGTTATCATCAATAGGTAACAGGGAGCTTACAGTAAATAGGGAGCCTCCTTTAGGATCTGTTTTATAGAAAACATCAATACTTGTTTCTATTTGTCTAGTTTTTCCATGCTTTTAAGTGACACATAGTATTCATATATATTAATGAGGAATACTACCAAAAGTATAACAAGTTTCACTAATTGACATCTCCATTCCTTAAAATGTTATCATTTCTATATGTTGGAATCCTTTGAAATGCATAATTGTTGTAGACACTCAAGTTACCCTAAGGGCTATCTAACATTAGGACTACTTCTAAAACTATTATCATTTTGAATACCTGACCTGAAAAGAAATTAGTCATGAGAGATTAAAAGAGAATTCACTGTAAGAGTAGACTAGGCTCCCTCATTATTTTATGTTTCCCTAGAGACAATTTGGATATGGAGAGAGTTCCCAACAGCTGGTTCACTTCCAAATGCCTAAATCATCCAGGGCTGAAGCAGGCCAAATCCAGCAACTAGTAACGCAATTTACATCTTCCACATGAATAGCAGACACAGCTCCTGACCCAGCATTCCCTGGGTGGCATTAGCAAGACGCTAGATTTGGGAGGAAAGCTGGGACTCAAACTCATGCACTTTCAACCAGCATCTTAACAACTACTTAAGATGTCTACTGCTGAGTATTGATTTTTAATGTAAAGGGCTCTTAGTCATAAGCTGACCCTAACTATCTGCATCTGTGAGTTGATAGAAAGCAAACCCTCCGTCTCCCGTTGTATTGGTAGCTAGGCTAACTGAGAGGTTTTGCAATGGCCTGTCGCTTATGTTTTTGGAGCTTTGCTCTGAGATGGTTAAAGGAGTCACTGGACTATTCAGACTGAATAAAGGCTGCATCAAAATATCCCTGATCCCAATGTTACAGGCACAGAGAAGTTGGTTGAGTGTTTTTCCATTAGTGCCCACTGATGAAAGTAACTTTAGGAGAAAGGACCCATAGAAATGCTGGACAATGTATAGTGTCAGATCCCTGTCTGCCACATGCACAAAGTCATTAGGTCACCATAGGTACTTGCATTATAACTAAAGATGTTACCAACAGCAGTAGTCAGCATGCTCATTGGGTACCAGGAAGATGTTAGATTCTTAGCATTCATATTTTAGAAAGTAAGAGCATCTCCACGTTGCTGTGTTCTACTCCACAGTCTTTCCAGAGCCATGGTACACAACAGGTAAGAAATTATACCTGTCCTTGGGCCCAGCTTGGTGGCCTAGTGGCTAAAGTCCTCGCCTTGAATGTGCC